CGATGCTCTCTTGTCGCTTACGCGGCAGACCCAAAGGGTCTCTCAACATCGTCTATTTCACTCTCTCATATAGTAGACCCACGGAGCTTCGATTCATTCTCTCACATAACGGACCCAAAGGGCGCTACTACTCTTTACCCATTTACACTCTCTCATGTGGTAGGCATCGCCGTATTAATAAATGCCCGGAGCTTACCCTCCATCTCAACTAACCGACCCAGGGTCTCCCCTTCCTTCATAGCTAGCGGATTTGCGAATTCGTCTCGTCCAACCCAAGCGGACTCCAAGAGAGAGAAGGGAGTCATCCCACCGCTCTTCCTCCCCAACCCTATTTCTTCAAACAAATGTTGGAACGAACTGCTAGCATCCGGTGTTCTGTCCCAGCCCACCCCAAAGCAGGACCGTTACAAAAATAATAGCTTGGCAAAAATTTCTCTCTAAAACCGCTACACCTCCTTTCCTAAATGGACTCAGCGCTAGCAACAAAATAATACGTTTTCTTCCCGATCCTTCACTTTCGCCCCTGGATACGAATTCGCAATGGACTTTCGACTTTGCACTTTGATTTGTAAAACCCTATAGTCGCGCACAACTAATCCTCACAAAGTGTGGAAAGAGAATGGACGTTATAGATGGTTGACTTTTGGCGCTAACCCATTCTAAGGCCTTTGCCCAGAGAAACAATGCCCAACTCTCTCTATGCCTCTTTTCAGTTCCAACATTGTCTCTTAGATGGCGCACATTCCCAAATATCCTTCATTCTTGGTAATTCGGTCTATGATGTAACGCTTGTAACATTATAGGCCGAATTACCAAGCCCGAAAACTATCTGTGAGGTGATAAAATTTAGTTTCTCCAATGTGGTTTTATCGCAGTCATTCAGAATGAAGAAGGTATCAATCTTTAAAAATCTGTCTTTAAAAGTAAAAATTAACGTTTAGATTGCTTAATATTATAGTTACAATAAACACAGGAATGAACGAGTAACTGATAAAAAAAATTACAACAGATACTGAGAAATAACCAGAAATACGATTATTTTTTTAATTTGCAACCACAAAACGAAATTTAGTATTTCAGGTAGGCATTTATTCTTTAAAGTTTGGAGCTGCACTCTTACTTTTCGAATAATCTTTCACAGGAAAAAAAACTGTAAAGGAAAATCGTTTTTATTATATTTTTAAAATTATAAGTATTTTATTCAGAAATATTACTACTGTGAGTCTAGAAGAATAATATTGTTGTAAATTCAAGAATATAGATACACCAGAGACCAGACTAGATCTTGAAAAAAAAATATATATTTTTTTGCATTCGTTATTCATAGACCGAATTACCAAGCCCGAAAGCTTTCTGGCAAGTGATAAAATTTAGTTTCTCAAATGTGGTATAAAAAATAAAAAAAAATTAATTTTTCTTTGCCTGGACTTCGGTTGTAATTCCATCTACATGCTACATATTAAAGGTATACCACGATATACCGACAGACGATCAGAAAAGGGAAGAGACAGATTGCTAGATCGACTTAGCTTAAGATGCTGATTAAAATTCTTCAGTACCGATCGTTTTTAAGTCTTTACTTACAAATAAAACAAGTATATTAAAAAACAAGAAGAAACGCTAGAGTCGAGGGTCGCGACTATATGATACCCGATACTGTCTCATCCCATTTTAAAATAATCATTTTGCTACCAGAAATTGTCTCAGCGCCACCTTTGGTCGGAAAGGCATGTTTAATAACTGATGATGACGTCCGTCTCTGCGCATGTGAGGCTTTATAACATACATTTCTTAATAAATCTTGTAATAATGTACCGATTTAATTTTTTTTACGGTATATCGATAGATGTTGTCAAAAATGTTATACAAGATCAAATGAAATTTTAAATTGTAATTATTTAATCTTAACTTTCTGGCTCTGATCGATCCCGATATTTAAGAGTTTTTGATTTTTTGGATTTCACGTTTTGTGGGCGTTAATAACACGCTTTGGTGGCATCATTGGAAACTACAAGTTTAATCCCAACTTTCTATCACTTATCAATAGTGAGATCCCGAGTTTTTCGAGCTTGATTGGCGTATGGGGGTCGTATCCTAACATTCCAGCTCTCAGATTTCCTGAGATATAAGCAATTTTAGTTTTTCATGATCTGCGGGCGATAGAGTTATCGAGTCAGAATGCTGAAATTAACTGACGTATACGCATCTCGAAAGTTAATATATTTTATAGTTTCTGATATAAGCGTTAATATGGACAGACGACCATGGTTAAAAAGACTCGGTTAGACTACTCATGAATATATGTACATATACTTCCTTCTGCCTGTTACACAATTTTTATCGATTACAAAATACCCTTTGACTATCGGAGTAACGGATAAAATTACCACATAAATTAAGCAATTTTAATCTATAAGTTTTTTAAGAAGCTAAATAGCTTTGATTGTTTTGAAAAATTGTGTTTTATTATTATATGATACAAGAACATTAAGAAATATCTTTTCTATGAAAAGTACTACATTTAAAAAAAACTCTTTGGTAAATCGATAGATATTGACAACAGTATGTTACACAAAGTCTAAAGAAGTCATACACTATTATATTATGGACGCCACAGTTTTACGCGGTACAATGAGCTGCAATGACATCTCTAAAATTAGTATTCTTAAGCCTAACTTTCTATCTCTTATAGTTCCCGAGATTTTTGCATTTTTGGTTTTCTGGGTTTTTTGGAAGTTAGGGTGTGCGTGGCTAGATCGGAATAAAACAATTTCCATTTGGCATCATAAACACCTACATGCTTAATCCGAACTTTCTATCACTCATTGTTACCGAGATATTATTCAAAATAATTTACCTTTGACTTAACAGGGGAACTCAGGGTCCGGATTACACCCGCCAAAGTTCAGGATTCCAGAGAAACACATTTTCGTTTACTGGCTTGCCCCTGATACGTCTGAATAGGACATCCTGGATTACATTCAAGCTAGATCTAAGGCCCATATTAAGGTGGACAATTTCACTAAATACAAATATGCCTACGCCAGGAACATGTCATCTTTTCAGTGTGTTCCTTCGATGGCTTTTGACGTTATCTGTTCGGCGGAATAAAAAGAAAACAAAAGACGCCCGTTGGTGGTTAAGCTCCCACAAGTAAACGCAGCTGCCAAGCCAAAAACTAACCCCTACATCCAAAAGCTCTAACGTTTATAAATTGTTTTCGGTAAGTTTATCGTTTCTATCCCAGGTCATTGTGTTTAATGAAAGCTAACTTCAAAAATTCTTAATTCTTAAATTTTCCCTAGAAGGTAGAGTCCTAATTTCTGTGGACTCTAAATTCATTTCCGATGTGGTTAATCTACAGACTTAGAATTCATTTTCGTAAAAATCCTATTCTCAATTTGCATATTACCTGTTCATGTATTCCACCTAAGTCGGATTCCTTGACGTATGAGCTGCAGGTAACAGCCATTCAGTCTGTCTTCCCTTTGTTATCGGATATGGATCAGCTGGTGGTGTTGGGTGACTTTAACTTACCCCATAAACGATAAAAATCAGATGCTGAAACTTACTAAGGTATATCTAAACTCTTGTTCCTTGCAGCACTAGTGAAGATCAGTCATATCTTCATGCCAGCATGGCTTTATGAAACAACGGTCTACTACACCCAATCTTCTGGAACTAACATCCTTCGTGATCACTGGTTTCCACAAAAAAATTCAGACAGATGTCATTTACACTGACTTCAGTAAAGTAGTTACCTCTCTGATAGGGGTCAACGAGTTCATTTTAAAAATTCAGTGTCTGCCTTGGTATTCGGTTCTTCCGGGGTCCCTCAGGGGAGACATCTTAGTCCGTTAGTTTTTGCATTATTCCTTAATGCCCTTTCCCTTGGTTATTAACGACTCCTTAGTACTGATGTATGCAGATGATGTCAAACTCTGTCTTCAATATACCGATAGCTTCTACCAGGTGAAACTGCAATCCGACCTGAACAATTTTCAGAGATGGTACACTGCAAACTTAAATCTCAACGACTCTAACTGCAAAGCTGACTTTTTGTCGCCTAAAGCCTCAGCAAAAATCTGGATCTGGAAAGAATTAAAGCAGTCGAAGATCTTGGCATCTTACTCGATGCAAGACTTAAGTTTTCCGACTATATTTCCTCTATGGTTTCATTAAAAAATAAATTCAACGACCCCCATGTCACCAAAACACTTTTCATTTCTTTAGTTTGTCCGATTTTGGAATAAGTATCACGTATGTATCTTGGACCCCCAGTATGGGGTTTACCAGTGTCCTATTGAATCCATCCAAAAGAATTCCTCAATATTCTCTCCGTGGCCACTACTGGCATACAAACCTACTCCTTCCTTCTTATAAAGACTTACTAATTCTTTACTAATCGTAGGACCATGCTTAGCGTCGTATTCATCCATAGACTTCTTAAGGGGAACTATTTAATGCAATACTATTCTTGAAAACCGTTACAGTTTTCTGCATTTTGTTGGCTTTAGAGTGGGCGTGGCCGCGCAGCGGTGGCATCTTAAGAACATGTATACTCGTGACTAACTTTCTAATCATATAGTTACCTAGATTTTAGCGATTTTTGTTTTCCGCATTTTGTGCGCGTTACAATGGGCGTGGCCACATGGGCCATCGGGAGCATCATTAGAAACTACTTGCTCAAGCATAAGTATATATCACTTATAGGTACCGAGATAGCAGCGATTCTGGGTTTATTCATTCGAGCTTGGTGGGTGAAAGATTCGCTTGGCCTGATAATAGTACTACCATGATATGCGCAGGCATCTTAAGACTATACATGCGATATCCCACTTTATAGCTCTAGTCCTGAGATTTCAGCCATTTTTTGTGAGTTATGGCTATTAGAGTGGGCGTGGCAGGGTGCTGAAATAAACTTGTCTTGCATAGGGACCTCAAGAATCTGATTACTTAATCTTAATCTTACTGATCCTCTTAATCTTTTATAGTATATATAGTTTCATTAAACATTTATTTCAGTTCTCAAACTTGTGTCGTATATATTCTTAAGGGCGATGTATGGATCGAGAACTATAAGAGATCGAAAGTTGAAATTAAGTCAAATGCTAGGCTAGGCAGTTATTAAACTATATTAATAATATTTATTAACTGACGGTGAGGACTTTTGATTTAAACTTGTTAATAAACTGTCAATTGTCACAATATCCCATGCTTTTGTGGGCTTTAGAGTGGTCGTGACCGGATACTGAAACAATATTGAGCTACATTGGCATCTCTAGATTGAACATACTTAACAGCAACTTTCAATAACTTGAGTCTCTCTCGTAGCTTTTGGCTTTCCCAAGCTCAGTGTCTACTAAAATCTTTATCTCTGTTAGACACCCTTTAATGAACACATCAATGAACGAGTAAAAAATACAGCAGATACTGAGGAATAACAGGAAATACAATTTTTTTTTAATTTGCAACCACAAAAGGCATTTTATTATTTCAGGCAGGCTCAAGAAATGTAATTTATTCTTCGAAGTTTGGAGCAGCACTCTTAGTTTTTGAATAATCTCTCACAGGCGAGTAAAACTGAAAAGAAAAATCGTTTTTATTATATTTTTATAACTATAAGTATATTATTCAGAAATATTATTGCTGAGAGTTGTAGTAGAATACTATAGTGTTAAATTCTAGAATATAGATACGCAAGAGCTGTAAGCTTCTTTGTGGACTTTTATACGACTGGATCTCAAAAAGAAATATATATTTTTGCATTCCTTACTCATAGACCGAATTACCAAACCCAAAAGCTTTTTGGGATGTGATAAAAGTTAGTATTTTGAATGCGGTTTTATTACGGTCGTTCAGAATGAAAAAGGTATAAAACTTTAAACATCTGTCTTTAAAAGTAACAAATTAATAATTTAATAAAAAATTCCATTTTTCTTTGGCAGGACTTTGGCTTTCATATATTCAGACAGAAAAAGTATGCGTACACAACTTAAAATCTAGAAAAAGTTAATTTATTTTTATTAGTACGAAGTTGGATACCCTATTCGTTTGATAACTTCAGTCAACCGATTTGGCATTGAGTGGACCAATTTAGCCGTATCCTCTGCCGTTATTTGACGCCATTCTTCCTGAATGATCTTTTTGAGCATATTCTTAGATGTTATGGTGTGTTGGGAAATCCTGCGGTGGTGAATTTAATTGATTTTTTACATTATAAAGCAACCACAGCTTAGTATTACTGGCACAATGTTTTGGATCATTGTCCTGTTGAAACCAAAAGTCATTTTCTAGTCCTTATTTTTCAGCGTTTTGATTTAAATTTTGTTTTAAAATGTTGATAAACTTCTTGTGATCTATTGTGGATGCAATGAATTCAAGGTTACCGACTCCACTAGCCGCCATACATCCCCAAACCAATACACCACCACCGCCATGTTTTACGATTGGGGCAAGGTTTTGGATATCTAGGGCTGTACCCTTTTTTCGCCATTCCAGCTTACGCCCTTTTATACCAAATATGCAAAATTTACTTTCATCACTGAAAAATACTTTTTTCCAGAACTCTTTGGGCTTTTATTTTTTATTTTCTTGCAAATTACATTCGCTTTGTTTTATTAATAGCGGATATTAATGGTTTCTTCCGGGCAGTACGGCTTTTATAGCCTTCTTTCTTAATCATTTTTCGCACCGTGTCATCATAAACGTCCTTCCCAAACTTTTCGTTAATATCCTTAACAATTTGGGAGGCTGTTATCCTTGGATTAACCTTAATAGCCTTCGAAATGCTCCTCTTCTCCCGGGTAATGATCTTTGGTGGCCTACCGGAACGTGGCCTGGACGCACAGGATCCTGATAATTTTGCATTTTACAGAACTCTTTGTACGGAGGAATGTGTTCTTCCAATAATATAACCAATTTCCCGAAGAGTGTTTCCCTCATCATGAAGATTTACAATGAGTTTCCTCGAATCTAGATCAATTTCCTGACTTAAATTCCCCATCACAAAATGCACGTGAGATAATTTTAGAGAAAATAATAAGAACAGAGTAAATAGGCTTTGGTTTACAGTTATCCATGCCAAAACAGAATTTGAAAGTCATTTGCTACCGTTAATTTAACGTTCTTTGCTTTTGTACGCATACTTTTTCTGACTGAAAATCTGACTATTTTGTTAATTTGTTCTATAATATCTAAAGTTTAAGAGATAGGACAAAGATGTTACTTACCGTTAAAGCTAATAAAATGTACTACTTTAAAAAAAAAAATTGTTTTATGTGTATATTATTAACACTTTTTTTTGAAGCCAAAGCTAGTTTTTCTGGCAAGTGAATTTAATCCTAACTTTCGTTTTTTTTGCGTTCTGTGGGCTTGGCCAGATGGGGAAAATAACACGCTTTGGTGGCCTCATTGGAAACTACAATCTTAATCCCAATTTCTTTCACTTTCTGTTACTGAGATCCTGAGTTTTTCGAGCTTGGTGGGCGTATCCCAACTTTATAGCTCTCATAGTTCCTGAGAGTTTAGCAATTTTCGTTTTTCATGATATGTGGGCTTTAATGTGGGCGCGGCCGAAAGAATATACCACTTCGCGCTGCGGTGGCATCTTAAGAACATGTATGATCGATCCTAACTTTCTAATCATATAGATACCGAGATTTTAGCGATTTTTGTTTTCCACATTGTGTGCGCGTTACAATGGGCGTGGCCATATGGGCCATCGGGAGCATCATTAGAAACTATTTGCTGAATCTTAAGTACATATCACTTATAGGTACCAAGATATCAGCGTTTCTGCGTTCATTCATTCGAGCTTGGAGGGTGAAGGATTCGCATGGCCAGATAATAGTACCACCATGAGATGCGCAGGCATCTTAAGGCTATACAAGCGTAATCTCACTTTATAGCTTTAATAGTTCCTGAGATTTAAGCCATTTTTTGTGAGTTGTGGCCGTTAGAGTTGGCGTGTCAGGGTGCTGAAATAAAGTTGTGTTGCGTAGGGACCTCAATAATCTGATTACTTAATCTCAACATTGTATCTTTTATAGTTCCTGAGATCTCAACGTTCATACCGACAGACGGACGGAGAGACGAACATGACGTAATCGCCCTCGCTATTGGTAACAGGTATAAAAAAGGCTTCAAGAAGAGTTGGGGAACAGCAAAAAAAAATTATTCAAAATATGTCAAAACGCTTAAGCCTAATAAAAAATAATGGCTATCAAACCAAATATTAGAGTAAAATATTATTACACAAGAAAACCCGTATTTAAATGTAACGCAATATTGTCGTTTTTTTTTTAAATAAAATCCTAATATGTACATATATACATATATATAAAGAAAAAGTAATAGTTAAAAGTTAGCTTTAAGCATTATCTTCCGTTGATTTTCTTAGCTTCCCAGCCTCTCGGCTTTAATTCCACTAAATTTTGTAACGTTTCTTGGGGAATATTCGACCAATCCTCAAGTAATAGCTTGTAGAGATTATTTTTTCACGAAATCGTATCTTTCCGGAATTTGAGCTTAAGGTGGACCCCAAATCTTCGATGGAGGTGAAGACTTACCTCTGCGGATGGGTTTGGATTCATTTTCTGTTATAAAACAGCCACATTTTCACTTTCCAAGCCGTTTGTTTCAGGTCAAATTAAGTTATCGCTTTCTATACGCAATTTAGCTGCACTGGAGTGGAGTATTTCCTTCAGATTTTCCAAGAATTTCTCTGATTTTCCTCTTTATTTCATACTTTCTATATTTAAAGGACTTATATCAAACAATTCACTAAGGTGTTTAAGAGTTTTTCCCTTATTGTCCAAGTGTAAACTGATTTTTCTTTGCGGTTTGTTTAAGTCTGTTCCCTTTGGGCATTTTGTAGCATATATAGACCAAGAAAGACCCCAGAAATTTAACAGAATTAAGTCTTTAAAATACACTTCACCCTCGCTTAACATGGACTCTTTTAGCACGAACTCGGTCTTACACGGTTACAAATTTTCTGCCATCCCTTTTTTAACACGCTAAGGACCTCGTTCTTACACGGTTGCAAAATATCGTTATGTACATATTTTTTTGCTGTCAATTAACGTCCTTGAGCCTTTCAGAGCAGGTCATCGAATGACGATTTAAGTTTAATAGAGTTGAAAAAAATAATTATGCCATATAAGGAGTGCTAGAAAGAAGATTTAAATGCCACCAAACAATCGAAAATGACTAATTTTTTTTTAAAGAGCCACTAAAAAAAATTTGATAGAACATATGATCTCCTTACTTTTTAACATTATTAAGTTTCTAAAAAAAATACAACTCAATAGACCAAAAAACTAAATAACGAATTATTGTGATGCAACGAATACTTTTTTGAGCATAAAAATTGACTTAGTTTTACATTTTTGTCTATAAATTTCTTTAGGAAGCTATTTTTGGTTGGTTTTTTATAAATTAGTAGACAATATAAATATCTTTCGAAATATATACTACCCTTCTACCCTTTTTGAAATTGGAAACCATATAAAAACAGCCATTTTATCTCAGGCACACTAACAACAAATACTTTTTAACTAACTGCAGTAGTAGAGGAAATTTATGATTTATATAACTTTTTACCTTGTATTGCTTGTCTTTGTACTCTTGCCATGGTTCAGGGTTTGATGTACGATTCCAAGTGACATCTGGGTTGCGAGTCGCGAGACGAGCCATATAGTAAATTGCTCCAATAGCTCCCGCTCCAACACACACATAAAGTGGTATCAACTACAATATATAAGGTTATGTAATAACGTAATAAATAATGCCCTAAATATTTATATCTTACAGCTGGATTTTTTTTAAGACTTTGTAGTCCAAGCCCTTGCATTTTCCTGACTAGAAAAATATATCATTTAAAAATAATATACGGAAAACTATTAAAACCAAATTACCTAACTCTTACTCAACAAAAATAAGCGTGACCGAATATTTTCAATACATAAATACATAAAAGTCTGAAATTGGAAATATACTAAACGCCGAATAACTTATTCAGTATATTTCAGATTAGCTCGGATTACAGTCAAAATTGTGTTCCTAAATAAATACTGATGTCCCACAACAATATTCCTGTTATATTAGGTATCGATGGGACATAACGATTGGCATTCTTGGCCTACGTTCCTACAGACAATATAGTAGATCCAAAACAATCCATCTAGAGGCAATTCAATTAAATGAATGTTTTCCAGAAACCCAATGTCCCAAGGAAATCAGAAAACTGTATGTCTTTTCAGTTTCGTTAGTCTTTACTGAATGCATATACATATGTACATATGCTATTTTGACAATAATTCTTATGCCTAAAGAGAGTTGCTGCGTCCCCAGAGAAGCCGGAAGAGCAGCTGCTCTTATGCTTATGCATAGGTGAAAGTGAAGTTATGCATATAAGTTAATTTAGTGTAACCTTTATTATATTATTTCTTACTTTCACTCAAGCCCGTTGGGGCAAGGATCCATTTATAAGAGATTGGGTTTATTAAGTTTCTTTCATTTATTTCACCTAAACCTGTTATGGTAAAGGATAATATAAACAGTGTGTTACAATTATTTATTTATTACACATTTCCCCTAAACCTGTTAAGGTAAGGGATAGTTATAATTGATTTTACATTATTAAATTATTACACATTTATTTCCCCTAAACCTGTTAAGGTCAAGGATAGCATAAATGGTTTTATAATAATTATTTGTTACACAGCTATGGCTGCGGAGTACCATCTTAGACTAAACTAAATATCCGATCCGGCTGCAGCTAGAACTCTTCGTCTGGTCGCAGCGCTGTCGCCAAAGTGCCGGATCATCGTTTTTATCCAGGTGCTGACGATCACTCGCTGCGCGAGTGTTCTGGCCGGGAACCGTGGGATTGTCTCCAGAGTGCGGAGTCGACGATTTCCTTAATTTCCTTCTGATCGGGCTCTGGGTGATTGCCCCCAGAGTGCAGAGTCGGCGGTTTCTTCGTTGCGCATGCTGACCACTTCTGGCCGGGCTCCGGGTGATTGTTTCCGGAGTGCAGAGTTGGCAGTTTCCCTATTCCCTGTGTTGGCCACCGGATGTGGCCCGCAACTCGGCAGTTTCCCAATTTAGGAACTGGGTGTGTTAACTTCTCCTCCTTTTAAGTGGTCGCCGTCCCGGAGACCCGATGGTTCCAAGTCATCGTTAGTTCTTGAGTTGGCGTTGACTTTGTTCTTCAGGTGATGGTAGCTGAGCCAAAGGGTTGAGCACAGCAGGAGGAAGCCGAGTAGGGCGAGGGAGTAACTGACGAAGGAACCCAAGGAAAGTTCTTCCCTAAAGGTCCCAATGTGGTGGATGTTCCTCAGACTCAACTCGTGCAGAAACGGAAGGCTCAGCAGAGCTTGGTGGGTCGTGATTGCTGAGCATAGGTGTTATTTTGGAGCTCCCTGCAGAAGGTGGCGCCAACTGACGTCTTGCAGTACCCGATGTTGAGGTTTCGTCCCGGGAACTCAGCGACTAGGTTTCCGTTTTCGAAGTCTAGGATCTTGTTGTGGTGCTTCTGTACTTTTTGATTTTGGTTTTTTGTATTTGAAATTGTTATATTATTATTAGGCTCTATATTTTCTACCTTATATGGCCCGTTATATTTAAAATCTTGTTATGTCTCGACTTCTTATCGGGGATCCAATCATCGGTCCGGCTAGTCGTCGGGTTCTACCAGGCGTGAGTAGGACCACGATAGTTGGATCTGTCGGCATACAGTCCTAGAGCTGCTGGAACATTTTTTGGGCAACTCCTCGGCACTGGGCAACGGGTCTGCATCTCGTCGCATCACCCCGTTATGAAAAACCTACTCACTCATCATTTTTTTTCCACTTTAATTCACAATGTACTTACACAAAACATTATTTCCATTGCGTAATTTCCTAACCTGGGTACCACAGGAAAGAATACAAATATATGTATACATATATATATAGTAACATATTCACAAATTCCGTTATGTACCAAGAAATAAGAATCTGCACGCTGAACCAATGTAAACAATCCACATCCGGAGCAGGCAATGTGGCTTCTCAATAACATAAACAATTCTTTAAATGACTAAGTCCCGCTCTTTGAGTGGGATCAATATCCCAAGCGGGCGATCTCGCTCCCCAACTTATGTAAACAAAGGCCAGTAAAAGTAAGATTTTTTTCACAATAAATTAGTCTTAAGCTGAAATCATTTGAATAAAGACGCGAACCTAAATATTCGTTTATTAATTCAACTTTGCGTCGTTCTTAGTCAACTGATGGGACATTAATTCGACTCAAATAAATATCAACACTTCACTGGCGCAGCCGGTAGGATACAAAAAGTATCAGAAAAAAAGAACCTCGAGCGAAAAATAAATTAAATTTTATAATTTAGTTCTCGAACAATAATTACGCAAAACATTTTAAAACCCTTCAACTTGGATTATAATTCCAAATCGGTTGTCCAACAAAAAGTGGAAGAATAAAAACAAAACAAAACAAAAACACAATAAGTCCAACGGCACCTAACAGTTAATAATAACAAATACATTTTAAGAAAATTAATTTAAACAAACACTTCAACTTTAAAAAGTGAAATCAAAAATTATAACAATAAATTTATCGCCCCACCCCAAATCGTTGCACTAAGCGACAACAACCTTGCTGAAGCTCGTCGGCAGCTAAAAAACATCATGCCATTTAAGGGTGATCCAGAAACTCTTTACCCTGATTAATGCAATGTCTGCAATGTCCTGCATTTCGTCAGCATAGTGGACTATGGAATTTCACTCTACCAAACTAATGATGTGGGACAAAAGAGGATTTTTCTTGAGGCCATCGAAAGAAAGTTGGACGGACACGTAACACGATCATTGGGCCTTCCGAACATTGAAGATTGGCCTACC